ACCCTAAACCCTAAACCCTAAACCCTAAACCCTAAACCAAACCCTAAACCCTAAACCCTAAACCCAAAACCCTAAACCCTTATCCCGTATCCCTTATCCCTTATCCCTTATCCCTTATCCCTTATCCCTTATCCCTTATCCCTTAACCCTAAACCCTAAACCCTAAACCCTAAACCGACTAGGGAAAACAACCCTTTGGAAATGGCAAGCTCTTCAGGCAGTCTTCGAGACATCTGTGAAGAGTCTTCAAGAATCCATGCAAGCAGGAGGGTGCCATTTGGAACTACTTGGCAAAGCAGCATACTGAGCCATGCCGGACCTGCGATGGGTATGAGTTCTGGGCCCACAACTCTTTCTCGGCCCTGGCGCGCTAACCTTAACCTCCTGAGCCCTGAACCTACATGCGTGTAAACCAGAAGCCCCCCCCCCCCCCACACACAAACTACCTCCCAAAAGCTCCATAGACCTCCCAACCGAAACTCGAAGTTAAAACCCGAAAGCCCAAAGCTCCCTGCTTTCCCAGCCCCCGAACCCCTAAACCCTCAACCCCTAAACCCCCCTAGGAACCCTTAAACCCTAAACACCCCTAAACACCAAAAGCCCCTGAACCCCTTAAAACCCCCCTAAAACTCCCCCTAAAACCCTAAAAACCCCAAAACCCTGAAAGCCCCTGATCCCCCCCAAAACCCCAAACCCCAAGCCCCAAACCCCAAACCCCAAACCCCAAGCCCCAAACCCCACTGTCGATACTTCAAGATATCAGCTGTATTACCACATTTACGCTACTTCATTGGCTCAAGACAAAAAGTGCGTTGCACTGTACTCGTTGAGTTTAGGGCTTGCCGCTGGTAACAATAGGTTATCAGCCGTAGACTCTAACACTACCTGCCGGTGTCATGGAAGGGCAATCTCCCGGAAATGCTGCAGCAATCCCCGTACCTGTGGAGGATGAAACAATGTCACTGCTTAGCAACCCCGTTGTAGGGGAACCTACAGCTGTATCGACAAACCCTCCCAGGGATGGTGAGGTTATGCCGCTCAGTCAAGAGAACTTGGCAATGCTTACAGCCCAGAACGATCCAAGAATCATGCATGTTGGAGCAGTTAGCGAGCAACGCCTTGCCACTGGTAATGTTCCAGGTTTAGGCTCCATGAACTCTTGGAACATGGTTCCAGGGCTAAGCACCCCAGCATACTCACCGACAGAGAGAGCTCCTTCAGTGTTCTCTCCGACGTTCAATGCCCAGAACATAGACCGTAGGCAGCTCCAGGTGAATCAAGTCGACGCAAGGCAATTGGCGCTGAGCCAGGTTGACATCCACGTCAACGCCGATACTGGGCCAACCGTTGCCATGGCCGCAGAGGCGCGCCACAGGGAAATTGTAGGAGCCATAGGGGAGGCTCATAGGGAGGAAATCAACATACTTAGTTCCCAGGCCACATCCAAGGTGGCACAATTGCGTCATGAGTATACTGTCCTTCAGAACAATCTTAAGCAGCTTGAGAGTGAAGCCGCCACTAAGTCGAGCAACGATCAAGGTATCATTGATCAGCATTCTGCTGCTCTTGCCAGAGCAAGGACTGAAGCCATTGAGCTCCACAAGCGTCTTTGCGAGGCGGAAGCCTACGCTAATGCCGAGTACTCCAAGCTTGAGAGGCTTTCTCACAATGTTCAGAGTGAGTACGCCATTCACAATGCGAGGCTATCCGAACAGGTCGAGAGCATGAAGGTTGAATTCAATGCTATGCTTGGACGATTCAATTCTGAAGCCGAGCACCGCTCAGCACTCACGAGCGAGAACTCTGATCTTCGTGCTAAGCTGCTTCAAGCTCAAGAGATGCTACAGAAGGCTGCCAGTCAGACCGATTCGCCCCATCATCGGGAGCCGGAAGGCAACCCTGGTCCTAGCGGGCCACCGCCCGGCCTCCCACAGGTGCATCGCCTCGACACACCGCCTGGCCAAGGCAAAGGCAAGCCAGGTGACCCAGATGATGACGATGATGATGATGATGGAGATAAGAAGAAAAAGAAGGACGACAAAAAGAAGAAGAAGAAGAAGAAGAAGAAGAAGAAGAAGAAGAAGAAAAAGAGGGACTCATCTTCGTCCTCTGATTCTTCCTCATCTTCGGCGATTTCACCAAAAGAGATGAAGAGATTTTTCAAGAAGATGATGAAAGGTGGTTCAAATGACAAAGATGCCGACAAAGCCGAGTCATCGGATAAGGCTCCCAAAACCAAGGAAGCTGAGAAGGTTTTAGTCCCAAAGTTTCCTCAGCCTGAGAGCTATCGCAATTGGCGCATCAGAGTTCGCGACGCTGTTGTAGCTGCATCTGATAAGCCCGACAAAGCTTTCGAGTGGTTGTCTAGGGTTTGGGAAGCCGATATGAAGGAGGAAACCCTTCGTGATCCGGAAGGATTCACCACCCTTGATGCTAAGATCCTTTCAGCTCTGTCAAACATCCTGGAAGGCGACTTTGCACGTCAGGTGGACACCTTCAAAGAAACAGAGGCCAACGCCGGACGCCCAGTTAGAGGAAGGCAGATTCTCTTCAGGATTCACAATTACTTTGCGACGAACGCTCAACACGGAGCGGTGTATGACATGGAAGATCTGCTTTCAGTCACGTTGCTCAATGAGAATCTTCTCACCTTTATGCGAAATTGGGACACGGTGTTGTCGGGGATTCCCAAAACCCCTGAAGCATCATTCCTCGAACCACTATTCCACAGACAGGTCAAAAAGGTCAAGGCTCTCTCGCATGACATCAACATCGAGGAAAGAGCTCTTGAAGGTTCCAAAGAACGGTCCTACAGTTTCCTGTATGATGCCGCGAACGCGCACCTCAACAGGAAGCGCCTTGAACGCAACCGGGAACGGATGGCTCGACAGACGGGCAGTCCTGCTGTGCCCACTGCACCTGCACCTAAGAGGGTTCCTAAAGGTTTCTGCATTTCATGGGTCCGTAATGGTTCCTGTACCAAAGGTGACCAATGTAAGTACAAGCACCAGACTCCGGCCAAGGGACGCGGCCGCTCCGCTACGCCGGCTGGCTCACGAGCAAGCTCTGCAAGCCCCGGTGGTAAGCCTAAGATCTGCAAGTTCTACAAGCAAGGACGTTGCGATCGGGGGGAGAACTGCAATTTTCTCCACACAGGCAAGCCAGGTGCAGCTGCGCCTTCCGAAACCAGTGGGAAGGGGTCAAAAGGCAAAGGGAAGAAGAAGGACCGCAAGAAGAAGAAAGATCGCAAGTCTTCTCGCTCTAGCTCCAAGGGTTCTAAGGGTAGCAGGAATTCCAAGGGAAGTCAAGGCTCCAAGAACTCGAAGGGCTCAGGCAGAAAGAAGCCTTCAGGCGGTATCCCTGCTGCTGTATGTCTCCTCAGTGCTCTTGTTGCTGGTTCGGCCACCCAAGCCGATGCTTTCTCCCTCCGGAAGGAGTGGACGGACCAGGTCACCAATTGCACGTATCCCTATAGTCTGGCGCTTCCAGCGGTAAATTTCAGCTCTGAAGTCGATTACATTAACATTCCTGTTCGTGATCCCAACGCGAGGTTCACTCCAGTATCGCCCACCAATCGTAAGCATCGAGGAGAAAAGCCTTTGGATTTTGTTCCAGAAACCAGAGCAGACTCCATCCGAGAGGCCCAGATGTCAGCGAAGATGCTGAAAGCTTCCATCTCTACCAAGGACGACGTTCCGGCCTGCCGCTGGGAGTGTGATTCGGAGATTGGATGTAATCACTGTATCCCAAAGGGTCTCAGAATGTCGTGCCCTGCTAAGACTAAAGGGTCCTCTAAGATGCTTAACCTTGAATGGATTGGCGACACAGGGAGTGCACAAGACCTAATCGCAGAGAGGGATCTCCAGCATTTGAAGGCTTATGAGTCTGAACAGCCGATCAACATCATGACCGCGAACGGTCCCAGCTCTGCTGACAAGCAATGTGATGTCGACGTTCCGTCGATTGCTATTTCTGCCAAGCCTTATGTGCTGCCCGACACTCCTTCAGTCCTCTCCATAGGACAGCGTTGCATGGAGCAAGGTTTCGATTTCATTTGGAGAGCCTGTACTCGCCCTTACTTGAAGACTCCTGAGGGTGAAAGAGTTTTCCTTGATGTTCGAGATAACGTGCCTTTCCTCAAATCGTGGAAGGAGGGCACTGCCTGCCCTGCGCGTGAATCTAAGTCCGATGAGATTCAGCCTGTTGCCAGAGGTGAAATGCCTGATCGCAGCTCTGAAGAGATTGCTTTGCAGCTTCTGGAGAAGCACGACTTCTCGGAGCGATCATGCGTTGATCTCTTGCGCACCGTCAATTTCGGAGCAGGTAGGAGTAGAAGAAAAGCACTAGGAGAGAAGCGTGGCAATAGCAAAGAGAAGTACGTGATGCTTGGTGCTTTTGCACATGGAGGGTTTCATGGTGTAACCAAGAGAACTGGACGCCATGTTAACACTATCAAGTATCTCATCGCATTTCTTCGCAAGAGAGGCGCGGAGTTGGAGAGCTGTTCATCACTCTGCATCAACCAGAACTCGCCTATCAAGGTCCATAAGGATGTGAACAATCACAAAGACCATCTCAACGTTACGATTGCCGTGGGAGAGTTTTCCGATGGTGGCCTTTGGATTCATGACCCGAACGCTATGAAAACCGATAAAAATTATCTAGAGGTCAAGGATTCTGTAGGCACCAAACTCCCTGGGATGGTCCATGACAGTCACAACAAGATTGTTGTTTTTGACCCGAAGACATCTCATTCCGTAAGACCTTGGAAGGGTGAACGCTGGAGCATTACTGCCTATACCTGTAGGTCAGTTTACCAACTTGATAACCAGGACGTTGCGAAGCTTCGAGGTTGTGGGTTTGTTATTCCTCACAAGAGGGTTCCTATTGCGCCGGCATCCGCCGATGATCCTGACGAAAGGACTCTCAGGGAACTGATGGAGGAAGACATGCCTGTTCGGCCTTTGCCGGACCGCACCAAGCCTACAGTAAAACTTTAAAGCTAAGCCTTAGCCTGAACCAAAAGCAAAATCCGAGCCCAGGGATGGTGTTCGAGACTCTGGTCTCCTCAGGTCCGAAGGAGCGGCGCGGGTACGAGCCATTCTAGATGGTTCTCGCCATGCTCCGCCCTCTGACGAGGTGCGTGCTGAACCGGACATTGGTCCTCCTGCCCCGGCAGCGGCCGATGCCCCCGATGGGGAAGCAGCATCAAGTGACGATCCTGAAGCACCTGAACGTAGAGCTCGCAGTCGGAGCAAAGAAGCTCTGATCAAAGAATCAACAACCCGTGAACACCTCATGACTCATGTCCCCAAGAACCCTTACTGCCAAATATGCCAACGAGCTAAGATGTACAAGCCTCCTTCCTATAAGAAGGAAACCAGTACTATCGAAGCAGAGGTTTTTGGCGACCATGTGACCGCAGATCATCTGATCTTGCACAGGGACAAGCAAACTGTCATTGAGGATTCACGTCTTGCACTTGTGGTTAAGGATGTTGCCACTTGTTTCATGTATGCATACCCTGCTGCATTGAAGTCGGAAGACGAATGCCTCGTGGCGCTCCAGCACTTCGCATCCGCAAAGGACAATGTGGAGACTTTCTACAGCGATAAGTCTAGGGAACTTGAGGCTGCGGCCAAAACGCTCGGCTGGCGCCATGAGCTCTCTAAGGCTTATATCCATCAGTCCAACGCTGTTGCTGAGCGTGCTGTGCGAGCCACCACTGAGGGCACTCGCACCAATCTCATTCAAGCTGGCATTTCGCATGTTTACTGGCCGTTTGCCCTTGAGCATGCGTGCACTGCCTACAACATCAGCAATCCGGGGGGCAAAGAGTTTACCCCTTGGTTTAAGCGTTTTGGTGTTGCATTCCCTGAAGAACCCCTTCCTTTCGGTTGTAGGATTGACGTTTGGGTTGGTCCGAAAGCCCAGCGCAAGGGTAGAGACAGATTCGAGCCTACCAGTGAGCCTGCGATCTTTATGGGATACAAGTTCCAGCCTGGTATTAAATGGCGCAAGGAGGTCTTTGCAATTCATCTCAAGCAGTTGAACAAGCATGATTTCCACGAGTGCCTGAAGCCAGTTATTGCATCGCAGCACAAGCTCACTGATGGTAAGATCGTTTTTCCCATGCGTGAGAGGTATGAAAGGGTTCAAGCAGGTCTCGCATCAGATGCCACTGAAGGACCTGTCAGTCAATCGCTCACCAATCAGGACGCTGAAGCTGCAGATGAGCAACCGCCTGCACCCGCAGACCGAGAGGTCGAGCCGCCCAAGAAGGTACTTGATCCTAAGACAGGAAAAGAAATTGATCTTCCTGAAGGGGGTCGGTACTATGATTCGGGGGGTACTCTTGGTAGAAAGTATGGAGGCACCAGAGGTTCTAAGAAGCCCGAATCCATTCCCTCATACCTTTGGGTCAACATGTCCAAGAAACAGAAGGAGAAGGCCATTGTTGATGAGGCACGCGAACAAGCATTGCGTGACATGGAGACTCCTACCGAGGGTTCAGCCGGTAGCTCCTCTGCTGCCGCCGCAGCACCTGCTGCGAGCAAGGACCACTGGGAGGTCCGACTGAACGAATGTAAGCTAATACGCTATCATTACGTTCCCAGAAGAGAAATGTTCTCACCGGACATCACCGATTGTCCGATTGATCTATCACGCATCTCTAAGCAACGGAGTACAACTATCATTCCCGTAGGTGGTGTTGACGTCATCCATGAGGACGATGATTGGAAGAACGTTAGGAAGCGGAACAAAAAGACTAGTTTCAAGTGGATCGGCAAGACTGAGTTCATTCTGGACAGAATCCACAGTCCCGCTCCTGACGGAGATGGTAAGGACGCATTCCCTGCCATGCCTACTGTACCTCATGAACCCGAGCATCGCGAAAAGATTTCCAGCAACCTTCCCGTCTCAGAGGACGAGGTACGAGAGCTTTTTGCTCTTGTTGCAAGGCCTGTTGGTCGCAGAGAAATCCTCGAGGACCCGAAGGCCCAGGCTGCCCTTGATGTTGAATGGAACAAGTTAATGGTTAAGAAAGCCTGGGATATGGGATCTGTTCGGGAATGGAAAGATGTCAGTGACGAAGCCATCGAAAAGGGGAAAAAGGTTCATGTTGGAAAAGTTTTTGAGATCTGCGTAGAAAAGGGAAGTGAGCTTCCCAAAGGTGACCCACAACGGAAATTTAAGGGTCGAACCGTGTTCCAAGGGAACAACGTCAAAGATGAAAATAGTGATCAGGCTCTTTTCAGTGAGCTCGGATCCAGTCCCGCCACGATGGAGGCTGGGAAAGCACTTGACGCCTATGGGCACGCGCCGGGCAACGACTGTCAGCAGGCAGACGGCAAACAAGCATACACCCAAACCACGCTCAAGGGAAAGGAAACATGGGTTAGGCTTCCGCCTGACCGATGGCCTTCAGAGTGGAAGGGAAAGTACAAAGATCCTGTCGTGCGGCTGACGCTGGCACTCTACGGTCATCCTGATAGCGGGGGTTTCTGGGAGTTACACTGTGAAAAGATGCTAGGCGGGGTCGGGTTTCAGCTTGTGTTCCCGGCTGCGTGGCCTTCAGTTTTCTTCCACCCCCAGCTTCGCCTTCTACTTGCAGTCTATGTAGATGACTTTAAGATGGCCGGACCTAAAGCCAACATGCAGAAAGGGTGGGAGTTGATCAGTTCGAAAATTGACATGGACTCTCCCTCTCCCATAGGTCGTTACTTGGGTTGCGAGCACATCTCTAAGAGCACAAACCTCAAGCATTCTGATCATCCTTTTGCTCACGTCTTTGACAAGAACGTTCGTGATCCCGCTGCCAAGGAGACTGCCGCTGCAGTCGTGCGTGAGGACTACACCGAATTCCATCCCGAAGAAGGTGTCTTGGTGCGTCACCATGTGCAGCCCAGGCGTGCACTCTATGCCCTGCCGGCATCTGAAGCCAAGCTTTGTGCCGTTGGCGAACACCGACTCACGGAAGTGAGGTCCATTGATGATGATGAGCTTATCGAGCAATCATGGGATCATCCTTCCGGTCGGGGTAAGAGGTCTAAGTTGTGGGTTGGTGCCACTTATCTTCTTTCGGATAAGCACGATCATGCGTCAGCTCTTGCTGCAGTTAAGAAGATCAGGGACAAGAACGAGGCTAAGAAAGAAGCGAGGAAGAAAGCATTCTTCGATGTCAATCAACTGAGCGACAACAAGGGTTGCATGACTAAGGGTGTTAAGGAAGTTGTGTATGACATGAGTTCCTTTTTGCAGCAAGCCATTGATAAGTACAAGAAGCTCGCAGGCCCACAATTCCAACACCTGCGAAAGGTTGCTACGCCCTTCCATGACGACAAGATCGCTCGCCCGGTTGGCACCGAGGCCGAACCTCGCGGACAGCTTGCTCCCATAGCAAGCCGCATTCTCATGAAGCTGTTGTTCGCAGCAAGGATGGCAAGGTACGATCTGCTGCGTGCAGTTCAGGGATTGGCCAGTCGCGTCACCAAATGGTCTGTCGAATGCGATAAAGCCTTGCATCGCTTGATGTGCTATGTCGCGTCTACATTGGAGTACCGCATGCGCGGATTCATAGGTGACGACATTAGCGCTTGCAAGCTGTGGCTGTTTGCTGACAGTGACCATGCCGGTGAGCATGACAGCAAAAGCACCTCAGGAGGCTTCCTTGCTTTGGTTGGTCCTAATACGTACTTCCCCCTTGCAGCTTTCAGTAAGAAGCAGACCAGCATTGCCCTTAGTTCCACTGAGGCCGAGGTTGTGTGTGCAAATGTTTCGTTGCGTGCATTAGGTCTTCCTTCTTCCGCGCTTTGGAGCGTGCTTCAGGAATGCGGGGGGGGATAGCAGCACAAAACCTAAGCACACTCCCCGGAAGGGTGATGTTCCCAATAAACTCCTCTCTAACCACCCGGATTCCCTTATCCAAGGAGTTACTTACCTGGGCACTTCGCACCTCATTGATGGTAGAGTGGTCGAACTGCTCACCAACCTTTCATCCCTGCCTGAACCAGTTGAGATGAATACTCATCCACTGCGAGACGTTTGGGTCAAGTTAAAGGGTACTTGGGTTCAAGTTGAGGAAGCTGTTGCATGGGAAGAACTTAAGAGAAGGGATAGACCCGTTGATCCTAAAGCCGAAGCGTGTGTAATCGTCTATCGCAGGTCCACCATGGACTACAGACGCCACGCTGACGCGGAGGCTTTCATGCACCGCGAGATTGAAGGCATCAGGAATACGGGGGGTCGGTCCTCGGAAGAGCTTGCACCCAAGGGTTCAGATAAGGACCTAGGACTTGTGGTTACGGTTCCTCACTCCATTCAGCCTGTCGTGCTTGAGGACAACCAAGCTACAATCAGGATCCTTGAGTCAGGTAAGTCACCAGCCTTTCGTCATGCTGACAAAACGCAGAGGATTAACTTGGGATGGATTTCTGAACAGTTCAGAAGAAAGCACTATGACATTGCATACATCAGTACATTGTTGCAAGCAGCCGATATCCTCACTAAGCCATTCACCAATGCTGAGAAGTGGTCGCGTGCTCTTGCACTTATGGCCATATCTCCCCTCAAGCTTGACGTGAGGAAATCTGGCGCAGCCGCCACCACTCCTGGATCCACCCTGCTGACGCAGAGGTCTCCTCCTTTGCACAAGCGGTTGATCATTGAAGTGTGTTGCGGTGACGACTCACTAATTGGTAATCTTGCTAGTAACAAATATAAGGACTGCAAGGTCGTTCGCATTACTGAGTCTATGAACCTGAACGATCCCAAAACCCGACGGGAAGTTTTGTCCATCGCAAAGGAGGCCCACAAGGACGGTCTTCGCATCCTCGTTTGGGCTAGTCTTCCTTGTACGGGGGGTTCGCAATGGGCTCGCCTTAATCTTGCCGTCGACAAGAACCGAAGCGCCGTCTTCGAGGCCCGGAGGAAATTTACCAAGCTTTGGGCATCATTCGTCGACCTGTCCCATGGCCTCGATCGACTTCTGGTCGACTAT